GATAGATAGATAGATAGATAGATAGATAGATAGATAGATAGAATACATGTGATAGATAGATAGATAGATAGATAGATAGATAGATAGAATACATGTGATAGATAGATAGATAGATAGATAGATAGATAGATAGATAGAATACATGTGATAGATAGATAGATAGATAGATAGATAGATAGATAGATAGATAGATAGATAGATACTCATTGGTGTCCCCTATTCTGGCTGCATTATCTCACTGCCCCCTTCCCCGGCGCAGCCCGGTCTTACCAGGATGAAGTCGGCTTTGCTCTCCTTTGCGTAGTTTAGGGCCTCCTGCCGCAGCTTCATAATGTGCTCATAGCGCTCTTTGGGCCAGTGCTTTGGGCTAGTCTCCTGAGCGTACCACCTGCCAGTATAACATACGAAATTAAGCGTACAGCTCCATAAAACCAAGCAACATCACAGACCATCCTTCCAGATGAGACACAGAATTAATATGGAAACTGTAACAATCCAGATTTCCTGCAAAACGCCAATCTTCAGCAAACCCGGCAAATGCAAAAAAAACCAAAAAAAGTTAATTCATGCTTCCATTGTGCTCCCATTCATCCTGCCATTGTGCTCCCATTCATCCTGCCATTGTCCCCCCATTCACCCGGCCATTGTCCCCCCATTCACCCGGCCATTGTCCCCCCATTCACCCGGCCATTGTCCCCCCATTCACCCGGCCATTGTCCCCCCATTCACCCGGCCATTGTCCCCCCATTCACCCGGCCATTGTCCCCCCATTCACCCGGCCATTGTCCCCCCATTCACCCGGCCATTGTCCCCCCATTCACCCGGCCATTGTCCCCCCATTCACCCGGCCATTGTCCCCCCATTCACCCGGCCATTGTCCCCCCATTCACCCGGCCATTGTCCCCCCATTCACCCGGCCATTGTCCCCCCATTCACCCGGCCATTGTCCCCCCATTCACCCGGCCATTGTCCCCCCATTCACCCGGCCATTGTCCCCCCATTCACCCGGCCATTGTCCCCCCATTCACCCGGCCATTGTCCCCCCATTCACCCGGCCATTGTCCCCCCATTCACCCGGCCATTGTCCCCCCATTCACCCGGCCATTGTCCCCCCATTCACCCGGCCATTGTCCCCCCATTCACCCGGCCATTGTCCCCCCATTCACCCGGCCATTGTCCCCCCATTCACCCGGCCATTGTCCCCCCATTCACCCGGCCATTGTCCCCCCATTCACCCGGCCATTGTCCCCCCATTCACCCGGCCATTGTCCCCCCATTCACCCGGCCATTGTCCCCCCATTCACCCGGCCATTGTCCCCCCATTCACCCGGCCATTGTCCCCCCATTCACCCGGCCATTGTCCCCCCATTCACCCGGCCATTGTCCCCCCATTCACCCGGCCATTGTCCCCCCATTCACCCGGCCATTGTCCCCCCATTCACCCGGCCATTGTCCCCCCATTCACCCGGCCATTGTCCCCCCATTCACCCGGCCATTGTCCCCCCATTCACCCGGCCATTGTCCCCCCATTCACCCGGCCATTGTCCCCCCATTCACCCGGCCATTGTCCCCCCATTCACCCGGCCATTGTCCCCCCATTCACCCGGCCATTGTCCCCCCATTCACCCGGCCATTGTCCCCCCATTCACCCGGCCATTGTCCCCCCATTCACCCGGCCATTGTCCCCCCATTCACCCGGCCATTGTCCCCCCATTCACCCGGCCATTGTCCCCCCATTCACCCGGCCATTGTCCCCCCATTCACCCGGCCATTGTCCCCCCATTCACCCGGCCATTGTCCCCCCATTCACCCGGCCATTGTCCCCCCATTCACCCGGCCATTGTCCCCCCATTCACCCGGCCATTGTCCCCCCATTCACCCGGCCATTGTCCCCCCATTCACCCGGCCATTGTCCCCCCATTCACCCGGCCATTGTCCCCCCATTCACCCGGCCATTGTCCCCCCATTCACCCGGCCATTGTCCCCCCATTCACCCGGCCATTGTCCCCCCATTCACCCGGCCATTGTCCCCCCATTCACCCGGCCATTGTCCCCCCATTCACCCGGCCATTGTCCCCCCATTCACCCGGCCATTGTCCCCCCATTCACCCGGCCATTGTCCCCCCATTCACCCGGCCATTGTCCCCCCATTCACCCGGCCATTGTCCCCCCATTCACCCGGCCATTGTCCCCCCATTCACCCGGCCATTGTCCCCCCATTCACCCGGCCATTGTCCCCCCATTCACCCGGCCATTGTCCCCCCATTCACCCGGCCATTGTCCCCCCATTCACCCGGCCATTGTCCCCCCATTCACCCGGCCATTGTCCCCCCATTCACCCGGCCATTGTCCCCCCATTCACCCGGCCATTGTCCCCCCATTCACCCGGCCATTGTCCCCCCATTCACCCGGCCATTGTCCCCCCATTCACCCGGCCATTGTCCCCCCATTCACCCGGCCATTGTCCCCCCATTCACCCGGCCATTGTCCCCCCATTCACCCGGCCATTGTCCCCCCATTCACCCGGCCATTGTCCCCCCATTCACCCGGCCATTGTCCCCCCATTCACCCGGCCATTGTCCCCCCATTCACCCGGCCATTGTCCCCCCATTCACCCGGCCATTGTCCCCCCATTCACCCGGCCATTGTCCCCCCATTCACCCGGCCATTGTCCCCCCATTCACCCGGCCATTGTCCCCCCATTCACCCGGCCATTGTCCCCCCATTCACCCGGCCATTGTCCCCCCATTCACCCGGCCATTGTCCCCCCATTCACCCGGCCATTGTCCCCCCATTCACCCGGCCATTGTCCCCCCATTCACCCGGCCATTGTCCCCCCATTCACCCGGCCATTGTCCCCCCATTCACCCGGCCATTGTCCCCCCATTCACCCGGCCATTGTCCCCCCATTCACCCGGCCATTGTCCCCCCATTCACCCGGCCATTGTCCCCCCATTCACCCGGCCATTGTCCCCCCATTCACCCGGCCATTGTCCCCCCATTCACCCGGCCATTGTCCCCCCATTCACCCGGCCATTGTCCCCCCATTCACCCGGCCATTGTCCCCCCATTCACCCGGCCATTGTCCCCCCATTCACCCGGCCATTGTCCCCCCATTCACCCGGCCATTGTCCCCCCATTCACCCGGCCATTGTCCCCCCATTCACCCGGCCATTGTCCCCCCATTCACCCGGCCATTGTCCCCCCATTCACCCGGCCATTGTCCCCCCATTCACCCGGCCATTGTCCCCCCATTCACCCGGCCATTGTCCCCCCATTCACCCGGCCATTGTCCCCCCATTCACCCGGCCATTGTCCCCCCATTCACCCGGCCATTGTCCCCCCATTCACCCGGCCATTGTCCCCCCATTCACCCGGCCATTGTCCCCCCATTCACCCGGCCATTGTCCCCCCATTCACCCGGCCATTGTCCCCCCATTCACCCGGCCATTGTCCCCCCATTCACCCGGCCATTGTCCCCCCATTCACCCGGCCATTGTCCCCCCATTCACCCGGCCATTGTCCCCCCATTCACCCGGCCATTGTCCCCCCATTCACCCGGCCATTGTCCCCCCATTCACCCGGCCATTGTCCCCCCATTCACCCGGCCATTGTCCCCCCATTCACCCGGCCATTGTCCCCCCATTCACCCGGCCATTGTCCCCCCATTCACCCGGCCATTGTTCGCCCATTCTTCCTGCCATTGTGCTCCCATTCATCCTGCCATTGAACTCCCTTTGATACTGCTATTACCTAATACAGCTTTATATGATGGGGTGGCAACAATGCTACACTGCTCCTGAATTCAGAACAGAGTTGTCACTTTCAAGTAGGTTGTGCCTGCCTGCAATACAGAGGGCTGAAACAATTTTGCAGGGGGCGTGGCTATCAGCATTGTCATTACTGATTCACAAGCCTGTAACCTGTCAATCACCTAGTCCCACCCACTGCTTTCTGGAATGGCAGCTACCTCTATTACTGAAACCCTCCCACTGTGAGCTGCAGTGTCTGGGAGGGAGAGCACACAAAAGAAAGAGGGAGGATTTGGTTCAGTTAGGGAAAGTAAAGGAAGTTTTGGAGGTTTGGGAATCACATAGTAACTGGATCTGGTACTTGTTTAGCCTGTCATACTGGAAACCTTTAGACCAGGGGTGGGCAAACTCCGCCCCTCCAGCTGTTGTGGAACTACAAATCCCATGAGGCACTGCAAGATTCTCACAGCCACGACTCACAGAGACAGATGCATGATGGGATTTGTAGATCTTTAGAGGTACTAATAACATTTCCCTTCACTTCCCATACTGGAGGCTCAATGTGAAAAAAAAAATCTCTCCTTACACAGTTGTCACCAAAACAGGTGTCCACACAAGAAGATTTCTCCTCACTTCCTGTTCAAGTGGCAGCTGTGCATTGTGGTCACATGAACAATAGAGTTCCCAACAGAACAATTACTTTTTATGTTGTGGAGACGAGTAGAGGGGAGAGATTCATTAGTATAGCAAAAGACAAATTAGCAGGGCTGAAACCATTTCTGGCACACAGTCTTAATTAGGGTTTATGTCTAATTGAAGAAACAATTTAATGAGCAGTGACGACCTCACGACATCCAATCAGAGAACAGCTCTCAAATATTAATGTTGCCATACTTATAAACACTGACCAGTGACTGGCTGCTGCAGATTATTGCAAAACATGTCAGGTCATTTAAAGAGGGGGGGGTGTCACCTGGGCATTTCCTGTGCTGTCCACACCACGGAGTGATATAATGGCCGCACCGCCTCCATCCAATCCTGCAGAACATCAATGGTCGAGTCTTCATTGTGGTCAGTGACACACCTGAGGAATGACAAAACACATGATGACATTTCACATTGTAACAGGAAAACAAACCTTTAATGCATCTCTCCAAGAACCTCACTTCCTGTTCCTATGAAAACAATGTCACCAGGACAGGAAGTAAGGGAAATCTCTCTCACAGGAACGCCATGGCAATATGAATACTTTTTTTAGTAATGTGGATCCCCCTCCCCCCTTACTTCCTGTCTAAAAGAAACCATTCTCTATCCTAACATTAAAAAAAATGATTTGCTGACGATAAACTTTCAATGATTTTATTCATAGGTCATTTTTTTTAATTAATATTTATAATATCATTAAATTTAAAAAAGCTTTAAAAAAAATCCAAGCACCCCCTTAAAGCAGGGCTGGACAAATCCCAGGAACAAGGTCGCCAATTCTCCTTAAAAATGATAGCTGGCGCCCCAAATTTTTGGGTTTTTTTCAGTTGTCGTCAATGTAGCTGGCTCCTAAAAAATCCTGCTGGCTCCTGGATTGGAGAGACCGGCTCCTGGATTCCAAATTCATTTGTCCTCCCCGGTAATGAAGCGAACCTGGTATGTAAAGCGACTTCCCTGTGACCTCCGTTAACCTCTTGGCACTCACAAAAAATGAGGCTGCCTACGTCCGATGCCATGTACAACGAATGAGCAGCAAGCAAGCTCCTGTCTGCTGTATTGTCTGGCCATATACAGGACACGTTTCACTCACTGGGGTTGAATTCGCCACGTGTGGGATGGCGAGGGGAATTCGCTGGAGATTGAAGTATGCTGCAAAATCGCCTTCAGCAGAAAATAATTAACTTCACGTCACACACATGAACTGCAATGTGAGGTAAAAAAAATGTGCACGCAGGCGTCACCTTCCACTTTTTTAACTTCACAGAAGACGGAGGGTGCGGGTACCTTAAGCCCCGGTTCCCACCTGGGCGTTTTTCCGCGGGTTCGTACTCGGGGAAAAACGCTCAAACAGGTAAATGCCATTATTTTCAATGTGCATGGTTCCCATCTGGGCGTTGTTCCGCGAGTACGAACGCGCGGGAAACCGCCCTACGCCCAAAGAAGTACATGTACTTCTTTGGGGCGTTTTGGTCTCGCGTTTCCATCGGGATACAGCCAAGTAGCCCTCGGAAACGCGGTTTGTCGTGCGTTTTTTTTACCGCGAATCGCGCATATTCAATACGCCTAGGTGTGAACCCAGCCTAAGGGCTTGTTCACACCAAGCCCGGAGCAGATCCAGAGCAGAGCAGGTGCAGACCGGATCAAAACTGCATCCAATGTATTCCTATGGTATTTTGAGCTCTAGTCCACATCGCAGCGTGCAGATCCAGAGCAGGTGAAAAAACTGCGGCAAGCCCTATTTTACCTGCTCTGGAACGCATCAAAAACGCATGCAAAACGCAAAAACGCATCAAAAACACATGCAAGTGCCTGAAAGCCCATGTTAAACTTCAAAAAAAAAAAAAAAGTATTTTTAGCAAAAACGGCCCGGAACGCATCAAAAACGCGGCACAACCCACTGCACTGCGTGTGCAGAAACCTGACTGGATCTGCTCTGCATTTGGTGTGAACAAGGCCTCAGGGGCCTGTTCCTGAAGTTGGGGGAGGAGGTTCTGTGACCTACACAAGGGCCCCCTGCCTCCTCCCACTCGGGGTCTCCCTTCCAGAGGATCGGGGTCCGCCAGCCTTCGGGTAGGTGGACCTAACTCGTTCTTGTCCCTGTCAGGAGCCTTGCGCCCTGTGGGATCAGGAAATAGTGGCCCTTCTCATCAGAGAGGACCAATGGCACCCTCTTGTACTTTTTGTTGTTGTGTGTTGTGATTTCACAACTCACTTTTAAGTGTTCACAGGGCATGTTCGATGCACGCTCCACGGGCTTAAAAAAAAACGTGAGGTAAAAAATGGATACGTAGGCGTCACCTTCCATGAAAACCGCGTCATAAATGGCGAGTAGATTCACATAGAGACGAATGAATTTCTATGCAAATCTTCACTTCTTCTGTATGGGTCAAGCTTGGCCACGTCCACCTTTTTTGAGCCTATAATATAGTGAGGCCGTCCATCACTTGACTTAGAAAGCAGGATGGGGCGTGGGCGTGGCTAAGCTTGACTTTTACATGAAAATAGTCTCCGACCACGTCCTATAGCACGTCTGCAGTCTCAAACCATCTCCTATAGCATGGCCTAGTCTCTGACCATCTCCTATAGCATGCCTGTAGTCACTGACCATCGCCTATAGAATTTCTATAGTCTCTGACCATCTCCTATAGAATTTCTATAGTCTCTGACCATCTCCTTTAGCATGTCTGCAGTCTCTGACCATCTCCTATAGCATGTCTGCAGTCTCTGACCATCTCCTATAGCATGTCTGCAGTCTCTGACCATCTCCTATAGCATGTCTGCAGTCTCTGACCATCTGCTGTAAAATGCCCACAATCTCTGACCAGGTTTCCAGTCTCCAAATGCTTTCTGTTTTATTAGTCAAAATATTAAGTGTGGCCCTTTGGTGATGTCAGAGTCCCCACATGGGGCCTCCTACATCAAGTAAGTTGACCAACACTGGTGTACAGAAAAGAAGTCAATGAGCAGACATTCAGTATACCCCATGTACTTGTTAACCAGCCAAGGTGATTAATGCGGCCATAGAAAGCCTGCAGCCAAAATAACACATATACAATTCTAAAAAAACTAAACAAATTCTTTATCCTTTGTACAATCTGCCAACTCCTCCCCCCCCTGCATTCCGCCCCCAGGGTCCAACCCATCTCCCCCACTGCATGCCGCCCCCAGGGGCCCAACCCACCTCCCCCACTTTATGTACCCCCCAGGATATAACCCACCTCCCCTACTTTATGCACCCCCCAGGATATTATCCACCTCCCCTACTTTATGCACCCCCCAGGATATTATCCACCTCCCCTACTTTATGCACCCCCCAGGATATTATCCACCTCCCCTACTTTATGCACCCCCCAGGATATTATCCACCTCCCCTACTTTATGCACCCCCCAGGATATTATCCACCTCCCCTACTTTATGCACCCCCCAGGATATTATCCACCTCCCCTACTTTATGCACCCCCCAGGATATTATCCACCTCCCCTACTTTATGCACCCCCCAGGATATTATCCACCTCCCCTACTTTATGCACCCCCCAGGATATTATCCACCTCCCCTACTTTATGCACCCCCCAGGATATTATCCACCTCCCCTACTTTATGCACCCCCCAGGATATTATCCACCTCCCCTACTTTATGCACCCCCCAGGATATTATCCACCTCCCCTACTTTATGCACCCCCCAGGATATTATCCACCTCCCCTACTTTATGCACCCCCCAGGATATTATCCACCTCCCCTACTTTATGCACCCCCCAGGATATTATCCACCTCCCCTACTTTATGCACCCCCCAGGATATTATCCACCTCCCCTACTTTATGCACCCCCCAGGATATTATCCACCTCCCCTACTTTATGCACCCCCCAGGATATTATCCACCTCCCCTACTTTATGCACCCCCCAGGATATTATCCACCTCCCCTACTTTATGCACCCCCCAGGATATTATCCACCTCCCCTACTTTATGCACCCCCCAGGATATTATCCACCTCCCCTACTTTATGCACCCCCCAGGATATTATCCACCTCCCCTACTTTATGCACCCCCCAGGATATTATCCACCTCCCCTACTTTATGCACCCCCCAGGATATTATCCACCTCCCCTACTTTATGCACCCCCCAGGATATTATCCACCTCCCCTACTTTATGCACCCCCCAGGATATTATCCACCTCCCCTACTTTATGCACCCCCCAGGATATTATCCACCTCCCCTACTTTATGCACCCCCCAGGATATTATCCACCTCCCCTACTTTATGCACCCCCCAGGATATTATCCACCTCCCCTACTTTATGCACCCCCCAGGATATTATCCACCTCCCCTACTTTATGCACCCCCCAGGATATTATCCACCTCCCCTACTTTATGCACCCCCCAGGATATTATCCACCTCCCCTACTTTATGCACCCCCCAGGATATTATCCACCTCCCCTACTTTATGCACCCCCCAGGATATTATCCACCTCCCCTACTTTATGCACCCCCCAGGATATTATCCACCTCCCCTACTTTATGCACCCCCCAGGATATTATCCACCTCCCCTACTTTATGCACCCCCCAGGATATTATCCACCTCCCCTACTTTATGCACCCCCCAGGATATTATCCACCTCCCCTACTTTATGCACCCCCCAGGATATTATCCACCTCCCCTACTTTATGCACCCCCCAGGATATTATCCACCTCCCCTACTTTATGCACCCCCCAGGATATTATCCACCTCCCCTACTTTATGCACCCCCCAGGATATTATCCACCTCCCCTACTTTATGCACCCCCCAGGATATTATCCACCTCCCCTACTTTATGCACCCCCCAGGATATTATCCACCTCCCCTACTTTATGCACCCCCCAGGATATTATCCACCTCCCCTACTTTATGCACCCCCCAGGATATTATCCACCTCCCCTACTTTATGCACCCCCCAGGATATTATCCACCTCCCCTACTTTATGTACCCCCCAGGATATAACCCACCTCCCCCACTGCATGCAGCACCCAGTGTCCATCCCTTCTCCCCCCCACAGCACTCTCACCAGACAGAGATGCGCTCCTTGGGGTAGTCCAGTCTCTCTAGCGCCCCCAGGCTGTAGGGCAAAGCATGAGCCGCATTGCGGGCGAGGAGGGCAATGACCAGGGAGGGGTGGGAAGGGTCGGCGGCCGGCAGCGGGACCGGCAGGACAAGTAGCAGCAGCAGCAGAGCGGAGGAGGCCATCCGTGTACACCGGGAGGGACGTGTCAGAGGAGGGAGGGCTGTGTGATCGGGGGGAGGACACAGGGGCTCTCATAGGGAGGAGAGAAGACTTTACTGCCCCATCCTCCAACACCCACCCCGACCTATATATACTGTACAGGGCGCAGCTGCTGCTGCTGCAGAACATCTTTGGCTCCTTGTGCTTACTAGGAGATGACTTCCTTCCACTAGAGTGAAAGGAAACCCCGAGTCATGTCATGGAACACAGCCTGGCAGCTGGATGTAATCTTCCAAAATGAAAGCAGAACTAAAGCCAAAACTTTATGCTGGAGGGGAGAGGGGTCAGAACCCCTGTCTGTGTCCCCAGTGGGGACATTCACCCCTCTCCTCGTCCTGGTGACCCCTGTCAGAGAGTGAGAGAGAATCCCACATTGTGTCTTATCCCCAGGAAGTAGAAGGGAAGCTTTTGGACACTTTTGGGGGTGACAACTTCCCAAGACTCCCTTTCTGTCCGTCCCTTTATGACCCGTTTGATTAAATGGATCAGAATTGGACTGCGATACACCCCTATGGGCGTCCGCCTATATCCGCCCACATCTGGATCTGTTTAAGTCAGGGATGGCCAAACTCCGGCCCTCCAGCTGTGGTGAAACTACAAATCCCATGAAGCATCTCTCTCCGGGAATCATCTCTGTGGCTGTGAGAATCTTGCAATGCCTCGTGGGATTCGTAGTTCCACCACAGCTGGAGGGCCGCAGTTTGGCCATCTCTGGTTTAAGTGCACCGGACCAAACACAATATGTTTGTGTCCAGGTCCGCTACTAATCCCATCATGCATCTGTCTCTGGGAGTCATGCCTGTGGCTGTCAGAGTCTTGCAATGCCTCATGGGACTGGAGGGCCGGTATTTGAATACCCCTGTTATAGAGGGGGGGGGGACAAAATCTCTGTTCTGATCTGACTCAGCAGAGGATATGCCTCGGCCCTAAGAGAGGATATCCCTCACTACTGTGTCTCCATGACAGGAAGTCAAGAGAAATCTCCTCACTGGGACACAGTACAAAACAAACCTTCACAGGAGGTCAGCGGTGGGCAAACTCTGACCCTCCGGCTGCGGTGAAACTACAACTGCCATCGTGCACCTGTCCCTGGGAGTCATGCCTGTGGCTGTGAGAGTCTTGCAATGCCTCATGGGACTTGTAGTTCCACAACAGCTAGAGGGCCCGAGTTTGCCCATACCTGGTCTTCACTATCCAAAATGAGAAAATACAGTGGGGGGAATTTATCAAGACTGGAGCAGACAGAATTTGGAGCAGTTGCCCATAGTAACCAATCAGCATCTCTCTTCAGTTTGCTCAGGTGAGAGTTGAAAATGAGAGAGAGAAGCTGATTGGCTGCAGTGCAAATCTCCTCCAAAAATAGTCTGCTCCAGTTTTGATAAATTCCCTCATAGTGTCTGCACATATATATAGGTTGTCATGTTTTCTGCCTTGAGGAAGGGACCCTGCGTGGCCCTGAAACGTCAGTTCTTTTGATCTCTATGACGCCTCTGTCCAATAAAAGGACATACTTGCTTTGATTACTGAGTGCTAGTGATTCCCTGCTTTTTCCTGCACATATACTCTAACATTAGGCACACAAATGATTATTTTTAAGCACTTTCAATGTCTGCTGGCTTTGTGGTATGGTGTAAAGGTGGTAGGTTACCTGTCCCTATGGTTGTAGGTGGTAATAAATAAGCCTCATAATAACCCTCTTCTACCCGCCGAACACTTTACTTGTCTAAAGTTACCCCTGTCTAAACACAAGACAAAAAAAATGTGATATATATGTTTATATATATATACAGGGGCGGACCTACAGCCGGTGCCTACAGGGGGGCCTGAGCCTACAGGGGCGCCCAGTATCCATTCTAACACAGCCCCGAAGTAGAGATGGGGGGCCCGCCGGTGTCCGGCTGCCGGATACCATCAGATCGTTATCCTGCGGGCCCCCCATCTCTGCGCCGGGGGTGTCCTGTGGAGGGAGCCGAGAATTTAAAAAAAGCCGGCAGCCACTTTAGGGGGCAGCCCTGGGCCTCGGCCGTGAGGACCCAGCAAACAGCCGCCTGAGTACACGCACTGGGGTGGTTTTCTGCAGCCTCCCCCGCCAGCCAGAAGAGGTGAAGGTAAGTTACTAAATAAAATCATTATTTGTTGTAGCCCAATTGATGGACTTACTGTATAAAGTACTGCTGGTATTTGTAGTGCAACATATAGCAGGTCCCATTCTGCATTGCAGCAATGCAGAATGGCACCCTCTATAGAGGACTACAAATACCAGCAGTACTTTATACAGCAATGACATTTTTCCAACCTTTTTTTTTTTTTTTGCACCAGGGCCCTTTGGTATAGATATATTGCCAAAAGTATTGGGACACCCCTCCAAATCATTGGATTCAGGTGTTCCAATCACCTCCATGGCCACAGGTGTATAAAATCGCGCACGTCGGCATGCAGACGCTTCTACAGACATTGATGAAAGAATGGGTTGCTCTCAGGAGCTCAGTGACTACAAGCGTGGTACCGTGATAGGTTGTCACCTGTGTAATAAGTCCATCCGTGACATTTCCTTGTACTAAATATTGCACAGTCAATTCCACGGTCCTCCCTGTAAAGGTGCCCATACACCTTACAACCATCCAGGGGCGTAACTAGAAATCACAGGGCCCCATAGCAAAATTTTGTACGGGGCCCCGTGATTGCTAGTTATGCCACTTGCAGAGCCCCAGCAGAGAGTGACCCTGCAGAGCCCACCATAGACTCTCTATAATGGGTTCTGCAGGGTCTGAGACCTCTTACCTGTCAGCGCCTGTGTGGTCGCCGGGCCCCGCCTCCTGTTCCGTCCACGGGGCCCCGCCTCCTCTGCTATCGACAGGCCCCGCCTTCTCTTACATCACTCGCCCCACAAAGTGGAAGCAACTGGGAGCAACAGCAACTCAGCCACGAATCGTGACGTGATCACACTGCGGGGGGCGTGGCTGCGGTGCCATTGACTTCAATGCGCCGCCTCCCGCGATGCGTTCCAGTAGCTGAACGCTCTGGAACGTACTTTATTAGTAAAGGACACTTATTTTATAACATGGTCCATCCAAACATTACTGTTTTGCAGGGTGGTGTAATGAGTTGTTTCAGTGCATCACACTGTTTCCTTGTGTTTTAACTTTGAGAGTGTACACTATATTCAAGTCTCCGCACTGCCGGGTGTTTTTTGGCCTGCGACGCCATGGAAAAACGCAGCATGTCTGCACCGCTACACACTTCACCACTGTGTTGTGGTGTAATGGGGCATATAGGAAACATTTGTTTTCTATGTGCCCTAGCCAGGTGACCTGCGTTTTACAGTGTGGAAAAAATACAGGTCACTACAAATGTGAATGAACCCGTAACCATGACGCCAATAGAGCTGGGGAAAGGGGGGTTAAAATTACACAGCCACCAATGAAGCAGCCAAAAGAAGGGATATAATTATAATCCCCCTTTCCCCAGTTTCATTGGTAGGAGCAGGGCTGCAGCTACCGTGGGGCAAGTGAGGCACTCGCCTCAAGCGCAGCCAGGGCCAGCTTAGCTGCCCTCGCCCCTGTTGGCGCCATGGCAACAGGGGCGCTAGGCGGCCAACACAGCTGCGGCTCAGCAGGGAGTAGAGGGGCAGCACAGGCTACAGATTCCCCTCGGATCCCCGCTGCTCTCCTCCGCCTGTATGGACAGAGGCAGCAGGGATCAGATGAGAAGTGGAGCGCTGCGGGGGGGGGGGCGTCGTTTGAAGGAGCTGTCATCCAGGATGGCCAGTGGTGAGGAGACAGCCACTTCTTGGCCAGGACCTCTCTTTCCTCACCGCTCAGCCTTCCTCCACCCCCCTGCCAGCTTCAGCGCTCCCTCCTCTGCTGGCTTCAGTGCTCAGGATGGCAGAATGGAGGATCGGTAAATATCAGTGATCACTCCAGTGTTTGTAAATAACTGGGGACACACAGTGCTTTACATCACTTCCTGTTCATTCATGAGTTTCTCAATGGGTGGAAGCACTCACTATAGAAGCTTCTACCCATTGATAACTGGATAATAGTTAATATTTGACTATCACTAGTTTCTGAATGAATGGGAAGCCTCTGTACTGAGTGCATTCCATTCATTCAGAACAGAGGCTGCAGAAAAAGAGATATAGGACTTTGTGTCCTCAATTTCATTTTCTAGTTGAAAAGGGAAATGTCAGGGGTTGCTTTAGACCCCTGATAGTTCCCCCGAAGCCCCTCCAACAGTAAAAGAAAAAATAATAATAATAAAAAATGAATAAAAAAAAAACCCAAAACACCCCATTCCCCCTTTCCCCCAACAAACTTTGTTTTGGACGAAATGAACGGAAACTAAAAATGTTTTAATTCGTTTCGTCAAAGAAAACAAATTGATATGCTATTTTGGATTTGGCCACCACCCTGGAGGTGGGACGCATCACACGTCTGTTGGGGGGGGTCACAATTTTCTGTTTTTGCCTCTGGCGCAAAAGGAGCTAGCTATGGCTCTGGGTAGCAGTGTTTATGATTATACCCCCCAGATTCAGTGAAGGTATGCTTTGTGCCTTGCATAGACCAACAACCACCTCCTGGGCTGCAGCATACAGTAATTAGTAGCAAATGGACACCACAGCGCTCAGGCTGCATGGACTCCTTCCTCCCCTCATCGCCCGCTGGCTCTAATGTCAGGGCTATCATGCAGACATTGGGAGGAGATTACTCTGTGTCATGCATGTGGCTCACACTGACAGGGAGGAAGGAGGGCAGGGCAAAATAATTGGCAGCCACACTACACGCAAGTTACGGAATGGCGGGTGGACCCCAAGAGAGAGCTGACCCCTCCTGGTCCTGACCAAGCCCAGCTATCCCTCGGGCTGCAAAGGCAGTTTTTTCACATGCATACATTGAGTTATTTCCGAGTTAAGCTGGCCATACACGTAAAGGTTTTCTATGGTCAGATGCAGGGACGTAACTAGAAATCACAGGGCCCCATAGCAAA